GTGTTCCTGGTCGGAAATGCATTGGGCTCTATGGTATAGAGTCTTGATGAGGCAGTTCTTCTGGGATGGATGGTGGTGGGAATCCGGTTTCAAGTAAGCATCTGTATGGGTAGCTTTCCTGTAGACAGAGTGGCTCATTGAACCATCATGTCTCCTTTTAATTAAGACATCCAAAAAGGGTAGTTTGCCATCTTTTTCGACCTCCATGGTAAATCTGATGGCTGGGTGTATGGAATTGATGTGGTCGCGGAATTGGTCTAGAGCAGGCTGGCCATGTGGCCAGATGACAAAGGTGTCATCAACGTACCTCTTCCATAAGGTCGGGCGTAGAGTGGCAGTCTGGATGGCGTCAGTTTCAAATTTTTCCATGAATACGTTGGCTACAACCGGAGATAGGGGGGAGCCCATTGGGGTGCCCTCAGTTTGTTTGTAGAAAGTTCCATTCCAGGTGAAGTATGTGTTGGTTAAGCAATGTCTCACCAGGGGGGGTACATCAGTATGCAGTCCTTGATGAACCAGGTCTTCAATGATAGCGATGGTGTCAGGTACCGGGACTTTGGTGAACAAGGACACCACATCAAAACTGACAAGCAGGTCGTTTGGGGACAGGGAAATGTCTTTGATTGTCGATACCAGGTGAGTAGAATTTAGTACCGCAGAGGTGGTTTTTCCAGTGAAAGGTCGCAGTATATCAGCCAGAAAACGTGCCAGTTTGTAGGTGGGGGAGCTGATAGTAGAGACGATGGGACGAAGGGGTGTATCTTCTTTGTGTATCTTTGGAAGGCCATATAATCTTGGTGGTCTGGCAGCAGAGGGTTTCAACAAGAACTGTTTGTTCTCATCAATTAATGCTGTTGAATCAGAGATAATTTTGTTCGTTTTGGTGACCAGGCTGTTGGTGGGATCTCTTTTTTTATTTTTGTATAGCTGCCATCGTTGAGTAGTTCTTGAATTTTGTTGTTATATTCTGTTTTGTCCATGATGACAGTGGCATTGCCTTTGTCGGCTGAGAGAACGACAATATCATCCCTCTTTTTTAATTGAGATAATTCAAAACGTTCGTCTTTGCTGATGTTGCTAGGTGGCAACTTAGCGTTTTTGAGGGTTGCAGCGATTTCAGATCTTGCTACGTCTGCAGAGATGTGACTCAAGCCCTTGAGTGCAACGTCGACATGGGCAATGATATCATTAACCGGTAAGTGTCTCGGTGTGACAGCAAAGTTTAGACCTTTAGCTAAAACGGATTTCAGACCATCAGAAATGGAACTGTTACTGCGATTAATTACGACTTTGTTGACGTCTATCTTTTCGGTGTGTGGATCCGATTTTTTGCTGGAGAGGTGATTGAATTTGGAAATCAAATTGTCCCTACATTTGTTCGACATAGTGGCAGCCGAAGAGGTAGTCATATTGTCTACATGTTCCCAATCCGATGTAGACATTGTTGCTGTCAATTTTAAGTGTGATTTGTAGAGTGTCTTGTCTAACTGATCGAGTTCGGTGCGTGTAAGTCTGATTTTTTCCGAGATAAGAGCGAAGCTAGTTCTAGCTAGAATTCGTTTTGCATTGAGAGAAGTTGCAACAGCAGAGGTTAGTGTAAATGCGGTTGGTATTACCTTAGAGTCGCGGCATCTCTTCAGAAAGGTGAGAGACTCGATTAGTTGAGCCTTCTTATCCCGAAGTCTGTTGAATGATCTTAAGGATGTGTGGAATCCCTCCCCGTAGAGGCGGTTAAATTTCGATTTAAAGCTTTCGTGACTGCAATGATTCATCTTCTTTGGTTCTTTCGGTAAAGTCACGTAGAATGAGAATAAAATAATAAATTGATAAAATAAAATAACACAATAATATTCTCACGACGTTTCGGCCACAACACAAGCGGCCTTCATCAGGTGAAGGGAGCGAGACTGTCTGGTAGGACAGCGCTGGAGTGAGAGAGCCACGTTCAGATCACGGCTTTTAAGCTGTGTGAGAGGAACAAAGAGCCTTGACGAAGGAATTAGCATAAAATTTAGCATTGAAAAGGCTGAATGATTAGCTTGTGACTGGTCACAGAAATAGCTATGTTAAAAGTTAAAGCATACACATCCGCAGAGGCACCCATTGTTAAAAGGAATTAGCATAGAATTTAGCATTGAAATAGCTAAATTAAGGCATTCGCTTGTAACTGCTACAGAAATAGTTACGTTGAAGTCAGAGCATACACATTCACCGAGGCACTTAGTACAAATCAAAACAGGAGAATTTAGCATTGAAATAACTAGGCGAATTTAGCATTGAAATAACTGGGTGATTTGCTAGTGACTGGTCACAGAAATGACTACAAATCTGAGCTATTCACAGTACTATATAGTGAACCAATAAAAACTAAAATATAAATTACCTTCATGTTATCAATAAACTCTATATTCTCCAATCAGCTAAGCTACCAACCATAAGTCGTTATATATCACAATGCTATATGGCGAAAAAATGGGTGGATTCTTACCCTCAAATTTCCGTACCACGGATAGCTACGGGCCCCATTCAGACGGACGAGTTCGTCCATGGTCGGAACAGAGGAGGGGGAGAGAGACAGCTGCGAAGCCCTAGTATACTCCATGTTGTAAACCATACCATTAACCGTGGTGTGAGAGGTATTAAGAGGCAATGCTGGCGAAAGAGCTGCGGTCTGAAGGTCATCGTAAAATTACAATTAATTAAGAACAGAAATGATTTAACACATCTTTCCAGTGGTTACTGAGCCTGAATCCATCTTCTCGGTTGAAATTGTCTCTGTGCTTGTATATGTGAATGGCCTCATGAACGAATCTCTCATGGTAGCCAGTTGGTTTGCAAAGAACCTCCGTCTTGGAGAAGTCAATGTCATGTGAGCCCACTGAATTGTAACAGTGATCTGCCACGGCAGAGGAGTTCGTCTTACCGTGTTTCAAGTCTGCTTTATGTTCGCGGATGCGATCCGAGATATGTCTTTTGGTTTCTCCAATGTAGCTACTACCACAGAGGCACTTTAGTTTGTAAACGCCCGGGTACTGTATGTCTGGAAGAGCATCTTTTACAGATGGAACTAAATCACGGATTTTGTGTACTGTGTTGAATCGGACCTGGATCTTGTGTTTATTCAGGATTTTGGAGATCTTTTTAGTGACCCCTGCAATGTAGGGTAAGGTGATGGTTTTGAGTGGCTCCACAAGAGGATCCTTCTTCATGACTGGAGTGATGGCTTTGCGGATTGTGTAGTCGGAGTAGCCATTAGCCCTGAGAGCCTGGTGTACGTGTTTGAGTTCACTGGTAATGTGTTCCTGGTCGGAAATGCATTGGGCTCTATGGTATAGAGTCTTGATGAGGCAGTTCTTCTGGGATGGATGGTGGTGGGAATCCGGTTTCAAGTAAGCATCTGTATGGGTAGCTTTCCTGTAGACAGAGTGGCTCATTGAACCATCATGTCTCCTTTTAATTAAGACATCCAGAAAGGGTAGTTTGCCATCTTTTTCGACCTCCATGGTAAATCTGATGGCTGGGTGTATGGAATTGATGTGGTCGCGGAATTGGTCTAGAGCAGGCTGGCCATGTGGCCAGATGACAAAGGTGTCATCAACGTACCTCTTCCATAAGGTCGGGCGTAGAGTGGCAGTCTGGATGGCGTCAGTTTCAAATTTTTCCATGAATACGTTGGCTACAACCGGAGATAGGGGGGAGCCCATTGGGGTGCCCTCAGTTTGTTTGTAGAAAGTTCCATTCCAGGTGAAGTATGTGTTGGTTAAGCAATGTCTCACCAGGGGGGGTACATCAGTATGCAGTCCTTGATGAACCAGGTCTTCAATGATAGCGATGGTGTCAGGTACCGGGACTTTGGTGAACAAGGACACCACATCAAAACTGACAAGCAGGTCGTTTGGGGACAGGGAAATGTCTTTGATTGTCGATACCAGGTGAGTAGAATTTAGTACCGCAGAGGTGGTTTTTCCAGTGAAAGGTCGCAGTATATCAGCCAGAAAACGTGCCAGTTTGTAGGTGGGGGAGCTGATAGTAGAGACGATGGGACGAAGGGGTGTATCTTCTTTGTGTATCTTTGGAAGGCCATATAATCTTGGTGGTCTGGCAGCAGAGGGTTTCAACAAGAACTGTTTGTTCTCATCAATTAATGCTGTTGAATCAGAGATAATTTTGTTCGTTTTGGTGACCAGGCTGTTGGTGGGATCTCTTTTTTTATTTTTGTATAGCTGCCATCGTTGAGTAGTTCTTGAATTTTGTTGTTATATTCTGTTTTGTCCATGATGACAGTGGCATTGCCTTTGTCGGCTGAGAGAACGACAATATCATCCCTCTTTTTTAATTGAGATAATTCAAAACGTTCGTCTTTGCTGATGTTGCTAGGTGGCAACTTAGCGTTTTTGAGGGTTGCAGCGCCGACCCATCACTCCATCTCTGCGGTGCACCTCCTGCTTGGGCGTGTTACCTCTTTCGGCTGCCACTCCATCGGTCGTCTCGGCCGCCAAGGCCATCATTAAACCAAGCGAAGGGTCCCCCTACCCAAACAATCGATATGATACTCCTTTGGTTCTTTTGGCAAAAGTCACGTAGGTGTAAAATAAAATAAATCACGTTTCGGGGCGCAACACAAGCGTCGGACGCTTGTGTTGCGCCCCGAAAGAACCAAAAGGTATGGATTCCTGCAGTCACGAAAGCTTCAAATCAAGAATCAATACGATGTTTCTCAGTTGCGTTTGTCTGACCTGTTTCTTTCTTTAGCTCAGTGCATTTGCCAAGCAAGCGTCCCTGCCACGACACTTGACGCGTTTTTCAACGTTTGTTCCATGTTGTGTCAGTACCCATATTTTTGAGCCACAGGCTACTACAGCACGTAGTCCTCTCAGATTGAACAATAATTGTCAGTGAAGCAGTACTCTGCCGATGTCATTGCCAAGTGTATCTGCAATACACAGGGGCGCCCGTGTGACGACACCGCGTTGCGTCGTGTTCAGAAATGATCAGGCGCGTGAAGCGTGTACCTTCATTTGTATTTGAATGAAAATAAATGACAACATAATTTTAGCATCATTACGCTTGTTTGCCCAGGTAAGTATCAACAAGTCTCAGTATTGAACTCGTTTTTACAGTCGGGGGTGATGGTTGTTTCCCAATTAAGTTATTTGCAAGTCTTTTTTTTAAATGTGGACAATTTGGACCACGACACGCAATGCAATCTTTTTTCGATCACGGGGGTCTTTAACGTGCAGCAGACGGAGCGCCGTGTGTACAAGGAAGAATACCCTCCCCGTTCACCACACTGATGGACCTCTGCAATCGGTGGCGAAGAATGCCTTACCGCTCGGTCATGGCACCACGTCACACAAAAAGGTACGATGCAAATAAGCAACCTTTGTCTCTTGCGAAGATGATGTTTGTCAGAAGCCATTTGACGTCTGGTTCCTCTATACCAGGGGGTGGGGAACGTCCGGCCCGCGGGCCGTATGAGGCCCGCGAAATCGTTTGGTGTGGCCCTGCCAAGGCAACAGCAGGCGAGACTCGAAATTCAATAAATATAGGAGCAAACCTGGAAAAGCAGTTGCGAGTAGCAACATCAATACCAGCTAACATCATCACACGCCTCGCCAAACAGAAGCAGTTCCAGCCATAACATTAGGGGTGAGTTAATTAAATGTTTGACCAAATATAACAGGCTAATTTTTAAGTTGATCCTTTTGTATGGCCCGCGAATGATTTGATAAATATCCAAATGGCCCTTGGCAGAAAAAAAAGGTTCCCCACCCCTGGGCTATGCGGTATCTCCAAACGAGCCCAAGCGTGTCCTCACTGCTGCCTTTGTGATGCTAGATTCTTGTGAGAGGCGAGAGAGATGGAGGCGAGCGAGAAGGGAGGAGAGGCAACAAGGATGGGGATAAGAGACGTGAAAGCGGGAGAGAGCCCCGCATTATTTTTCGCGTAATAACAACACGCAGCTCGCCGGCTTCCTGCTGATGACAAGCGCCTCTCAGCGCATCACGGCAAAAGGTTATGTGCGTACACACACATCTCTCCCCGAGAACGTCTCGGCCGTGCGTGTGTAATGTGTTTGTCCTGGGCCTCTCCTAGGCCACAACAGGAGCACCTGGCAAAATCTGTAAGCATCGCCACGAGAAAGACAAGGGCGGCCGGGCGTGGTGCTTTACGGGGGATCTTTGTCCTTCTGTGCGCTTTTAGTGCGTGTGCTGTATTGTTTGTGTACCGTTTAGTGTGTGCACGCGACGTGTGTAGTTTTAATTAAACATCATGGGCCAGGTATGACGTGGCCTCTATGGTCAAAGAGTTGTTAGCGATGCAGGACTGATGGAGTGGAACGTACACTTCGGATGAGAGGGAAAGGGAATTAAGATGGGAGGTCTCGCTGTTTGTTGAATGGCTTCGGTGCGTACAGGATGTGACTAGTAAGACGTGGGATTAAACAATGTTTTATGTTGATCGAACAGCGTCGAACAAGGGGGGATGGGGGATCGGGTCATCAGCCTCACCGGCACAACGACGCCAGAGGACGCACCCACTGGGAGGAAGGGCCAGGTGAATGATGAGGGGGTAAGGTGAGGATAAGGTCAGATATGGAGAAATCTGGTCAGGAGCACTGGGGCTGGACCGGCAGCTCGGACTGTTAATCCTTAATCTTATTTTCTTTGCAAATACATCATTTGCCTACGACCGGTAACCAGCGATGTCAAGATCGGCCTCGATGGAGGTTCATAAAGGACGCACGCTACTGGGACGTTTGAGGCAGTCGCCCTCCAGCAACAGCAGAGCGCCGGGCGGATAAGACGCAGCAAGTTGGTACATTGTGGAGCACAGCTGGTGGGTCTGTCATCTCAGTCAACCGAAAAACACCTGGGTGTCTACCGTTCCCTTCCGACAGCGAGACGTCGACACTTAACGCGACATGGAAGTGCATCTAGCCTGGCACAAGCAGTGGTGAGGTCACCGACACTTAGTGAATAGCGGCTGCTGCGTGCTTGTAGTCGCGTCTATACGGTACATGCATCACATTCTCGTATATAAAAAAAAACACGAGCAGCAATAATGTCACGTTTATTATTGTATATACAAGCGTGAGCTCTGTTTATGTACAGTGGGCAGGAAGTCGCTATACCCCATTACCTATGAGTCATGACAGCTCTTAAGACAAGGGTATATTGAATTCCCACTCGGTCTGTGCAAGAATCATAACGTGAAGCCTATATTCCTTGATAAACGGATCTGTGTGGTGTACATTGACTCGGGCTGCACCACCTTGGGCTCATTAAAACAAGACACAAAAACTCACGGTTATAAATACAGATACGATAAGATTAACTGTTAACACACCAAGAGAAATACACGAGAGAACGCAAGAGACGTGATATTGACTGTGAATTGAGCGGTGGCGTCGGCTGGAACAGGACACGTTTATGCAAAGTGATCTTTGGTCGGTGGTTGAGACTAACGATGGTGTGCGAGCCATGCAGGTCATCCTACAAGCAGATGGAGGGGTTCTAATCAACTCGTGTGCAGATGCTTCCCTGGACCATGAGACGCGATGGTGGATTGGGGAAGCCTACATCCATCCAACAGTGAATCGATCATGGCTGATGATGATGAAGAAATCAATGGAGCACATCGTTGATTTCGGTGGTTGTGCAGATGTCCGCGGCGATGGTAAATGAGAGGTGTGGGAATGGGAAACAGTTGAATGTGTACATGGGTAGATTAAAGGAAATTCACGTCGTAACTTGGGCAAAAGGCCACATCGATGTTATTTCTTCCTCCCCGTTGTGGTAAATGTGCTGTCCTCTCGTGGCTGCAGGGTTTATGGGTACCCAAAAATACACCAAACACGAACCAACATAATCAAGTTTGAACGCGTGTATCGTTAACAGAAGAACGGATACTACCAGTGAACTGATCGATGTTATCGTTCAATGTATAAAAGGATGAGAAGGGTAGCCTTGCAGCCTGTTGTTACGTGTGTGATCTCTGTGGTGGGTAACGTTTTGCACGGTGGGTGTGCATTTGAATTTGAATGCTTCCGTCACATTCTCCACTCCGCTCCTCTTCTAAATTGATCGTATCTTCTTCTTCTCGAAAAACAGGACGTGCTGATTGACTTCAAGCGGGTGGAGAGATGGCGTGGGGGGGGGGGGTGGGGCAAAGGTGGGGGGGGGGGGGCAAGGGGAGAGAAATCAACGCTGTCCACCCAATGCAATTACAAGGTAAAGTGAGCTGCAGTGTGACTCAGCGAGCCCCACTCAGCCCCACCTCCGGTGGAGGCTCGGCATTCTAAGAATAACAACAACCAGATTAGTAATCATGCGCTCAAACGGTGTGACCGATGCCTAATACAAAACCGTATGTCAAAGAATAGCGGAGAGTGCGTTCTAATATAATGCGTGCGTACATAAAAAGAAAAACCTCAAAGTGATTTGTTACTTAAAATAAGCAATGAGGTGGCACTCATCTTCTGCTTACAGCCCTGAGCCAGTGGTAGAAATGGTACATTCCAACGGCGGAGGTGAGTCTCTCCATAGGACAACCACGGTTGACTTCGCCACAAATGACTGCTAATTACATTACAACCATTGGCCAAGTCCCGCCCCATTAGCGGTGAGGTGTAAATGAGCGCATAGCTACGAATGCGTTAACCCGGCGTGTGCGGTCACTCGACCCGGGGGGGGGGGGGGCGTGGGAGGGGAGGCACTTTCGAGGAATCGCGGAATTGGCGACGGAAGCCCGCACGGTTGGGGGTGCATTAGCCCCGGGCGCCGAAAGAGCGCTGCCACAAACGCTGCATCACTGCACAACACGGGCGTCTTGAGGTCACCACATAAACACATTTGGCCCGAATTACCGCGAAGAGCGGTCGGGATTAGGATGAACTGGCTCCCACCATGGAAATGTTGTATTCTAACCAAATGGCTCAGAGACACCAATTGGGATGATCACTACCTGTGGTTTGTTAGAGGAAGCAGACACTTTGGATACCATTGTTTTTTTAACAGCCGTATGTTAGTTAGCTGTGAGGCCTTGAAAGAGTCTCCATATGCTTTTTAGGAGGGTTCTATCCAGGCTGTTGGCCCAGTAAATCACAGTGTGGGTCACGATGTGAGCCATGGTGTGGGTCGCAGTGTGGGCTATAGTGTGAGTCACAGAGTGCGTCACAGTGAGGTTCTCAGTGTGGGTCACGGTGTATGTGGAAGTGTGAGTTGTCGTGCAGGTTGTGGTGTGGGTCACGGTGAGTCATAGTGTTGGTCACAGTGTGGGTTGTAGTGTAGGATGTAGTGGGAAAGTGGTGTGGGTTATGATGTAGGTTGTATTATGGGTCACATGTCATCTTGTGTGTGGTGGTGTGGGTCATCTTGTGGGTCGTGGTGTAGACCACGGTGTGTGACATGGGGAGCGGTAGTGTAGCGGTTAGCGCGCTGCGCTATGAACCTGGCGACCCGGGTTCGATTCCCGCTCACAGCCAACACCGGTGACGATTATCTGAACCGGTCCCGGGCCTCCCCTAGATCGACTCAGCCTCAAATGAGTACCTGGTGCGGTGTGTAAACATTGCCACTAGGGAGACAAAGGCGGTCGGGCGTGGTGCTGGCCACCCACCCCCTCGTGTACCGTTCCGGCCTTCATAGGTGCTCGCTAACAGCACTTGCCCCTACAGTCTGTCAAGGCTATACGGGGAATCTTTATCTCTGTCAACCTGTGAGGAATAGTGTGCTATGGTGTGAGTGGCGGTGTGGGTCATGGTGGGTGCTGTGATGCGGGTCACAGTATGGATCATGGTGTGGGTCATGGTGTGGGTTACGGTGCGGGTTACGGTGCGGGTCGTGGTGTGGGTTACGGTGTGAGTCACAGTGTGGGCCATGGTATGGGTCACAATATGGGTCACGGTGGGGGTCATGGTGTAGGTTACGGTGTGAGTCACAGTGTGGGCCATGGTATGGGTCAGGGTGTAAGTCACGGTGTGGGTGAACTGGGCCGGAAATTACCGACGGGGTCTTTCTTGCGCATCACCATCTTCTCAGATAGACGATTCCTTTTGGCATTGAAGCAGTAGCCGGTGCCGGCAGCGCTCAACATCTGCACCAGCACCATCCTGCAAGCACACATGGTTAAATCATATACAACTGCATCTCGAATAGTTCCTCACTGGCCATGAGAAGGTTGTCCCCCAGCCTTGCGATCGAGCTCACGAACACTGCAATCAACGTAAGTGTGGAGCACACACCTAGACAGCACGTAGTAGCATCCACCCTTCGCACTTACCCCTCGGGTTGCTCCTGGCATGGCCCCCAATTGAGCCCCCTTGCCTAGCGGTCCCTCATGGCAAACACTCCAAAGCGAGCCCCATTCGAATAATCAAGTCTGAATCAGAATATTTACTTAGACTGGAGGAATCCGACGAGTTATGAAGCTCTTTTTACAGATGTCCAGTATGGGCAGATCAGTCCAGTATAGATCTGATGTCACCACAAGAACCCACTGGGGCCGAGCCCCGGCCTCTTCTAACCACGTGCACAATGTATAAGGCTCGTACCACATGTCTGTGGCGTACATTCAATGTGAGCGGATAACGGACAATGGTGTGCGGTGTTCGTGCAAGGAGACGGTGAAAGTAGTGGACACGTTGGAGATGGACAAGGTGGTGGCGGCGGCGGCGGCAGAGGAGGTGTTGGACACGGGGGTGGTAATGACGGTAGGCGTGGTTACAGTGGCGGTGGTGGTCACAGTAGGGATGGTGGAGATAGAAGTGGTGGTGGATATAGTGGCGGAGGTGTTGGTCACGGAGATGGTGCTGGTGACGGTAGAGGCGGCGTCTCTCACTTGGATTTTGCTTTCGCCACTGCAAGAGAGACAGACAACACAGCGCAGATTTAGCGGGCGGCGAGCGTTGCGAGCACCGAACCTGAAGAGTGAACAAGGGGGTCCTGCCAAAGCGCCGGTGTTAGCAGTAAGAATTAAGAGGGGTAAGAATTAAGAGAGGTAAAATCTGCCATTGTCCTGGCTATTGTGGTCCGGGTCGTCGGCGGGAGGCACGGTGGGGTAGCTGGTTCAAGCTCGCGGGGGTATTCCGCCCCCCAACAACAAACGGCCGGAGACCCCTTCACCATTGTGAGGTACTTGTCTTTCCATCCATAAGAATTTCAACTGGGCCCGCTACAAAGTCACCCTGTCTCTTCCTCCTCTTCCTCCTAACTGGGAATCGAAGGACCCCAGGGTTGCGCTTTGGAGTTCTTCGGTTGGGCGAGAACCACGGGGCGACACGGGAGGGCAGGGCAGCAACATGCATTGTCCATAAGAGGTGTTTGCGCTTAGATCGCGTAAAAATATAAATGTGTCGCTAAACCCGCCACCACCCGACAGCCAATTAGTGAGGTGGACTCGCGAAACGTCCGACTCAAATTGTAAACATTGTGGATTTACTCTCCAACACACCGGCGTGCTGCACTTGTAACGAATTGGCGTGTTCCGTTTACGTGACATACCTTCATAATTGGCTGTGTCGGGTGGTGGCGGGGTTACACGACACATTTATATTTACGCGATTTAACCCCCCAAAAACCCTTCTATTGTGCATATTGGTCGCGAAAGCCTTGCTCCGTGTTAAGCTAACACACACTGTACTGAACCTGTACATTCTTCTTTCTGCCAGCGTCACGTCTATGCCGCCCTCCTTCACCGCTGCCACACGGACCGCCGCGGTGAAGCACGGGGCCCAACGACCACCCCCAGGCCCTCATCCAGCAGTGGAGTGAACAACGCACGGGGCAGCACGTGAGAGAGGAGCGCGACCCACAACTCACAGTTGGCCGTAGTGATGAACATGTCCTTGGCCGGGGGGAGGGCTATTCTACTACTACTACCGCCTCCTTCTATACAACTCGAGGCGACGAGACACTTGGGAGGTCCGCCGACAGTCGCAGCCGAAGGGCAAGGGGTGTCTACGGACGCGATGAGTCTGAATGAAGGGTTGAGTGAGCAAAGGGTTGAGTGGCCAAAGGGTTGAGCGGCCAATGGGTTGAGCGACCAAAGGGTTGAGTGGCCAATGGGTTGAGCGGCCAAAGGGTTGAGCGGCCAATGGGTTGAGTGGCCAAAGTCAAATCTTAATTGAGGGAACGAGAACAACCCCGCGGCTCGTTCCGGCAGGGTCACACGCGCACTGTCGATTCAATAATAATCGATGCAAATGGCCGTGGAAGTCGGTGAATCGATTCGTGCGGGGGTGAAACTATCGTTTTGGACGAGTACGAATATGCGTATTTTCTGTCATCGCGGGCGAAAGGACGAATGCGACAACAAAACTGGACGGACAATACGAAGGAGACAGTCAAAGGTAAATTGTTAAGTTTCGTTATTTGCGCGGAAATCGAACCAAATAAATGGAATCGTGGGGGTGGTTGAATCGACCCCCGCACGTGGCTGCCCGGGGTGGTGGGGGGGGCTGTTTGGGGGTGACAGGGCGGGGCCTAAAGACCACCCCACCCTTCCCCCGGAAGTGAAACCGGCTTCACATTTTAAAACAATTTAACATCTAACAAACGTCGATTTTTTTGTTTGTTAGTTCACAAAACTACGACTCCAATCTCATATCCCTTACACGCGTTTAAACATTAATTTTTTTTTATAAATATAAATTGTTTGTGTTAAAACGATTGGGTGACGTAGCAGGAAGCGGCGGGCCGTGAGCGCGCCACGTCAGCTCGGGAAGGAGGCGAGCGATGGCGGCGCCGCGCGCGGTCTCGCTGCTGCTGCTGCTGCTCGTGCTGAGCGTGGAGCTCGCGGACGTCGCCGCCATCTCATTCTACCTGCCCGCCAACTCGCGCAAGTGCCTCAAGGAGGAGATCCACAAGGACGTGCTCGTCACGGGCGAGTATGACGTCTCGGAGCAGCCCAACGTCAAGGCCGACTTGAAGGTAACGAGAGTTAGGAGCGCGCTGGAGAGGAGGTGGGTGGGTGGGTTGGGGCGGGGGGGGGGCAGGCCTCTATCGGGACCAGGGGCAGGCCTCTATCGGGACCAGGGACAGGCCTCTATCGGGACCAGGGACAGACCTCTATCGGGACCAGGGACAGGCCTCTATCGGAACCAGGGACAGGCCTCTATCGGGACCAGGGACAGGCCTCCATCGGGACCAGGGAGAGACGGAACGCGCCCGAGATTACGGGCAGTCCCCCCACAGAGAATACGCAGCGGTGGGAATCGCCACCGATTGGCGAGCTTGGCTACGTACGGTGCGAAAGAAATGTGCAGGTGCTCGGTGGATCACCGCATGGCAGCGGCGGCTTGCGGAGGCCTTCATCCAGCATTGATTGGATTGAGCTTAACTGATGGAATAGAAATATTTTACAGTACGAAGCTAGGTAGGCTTCAATAGTTTTTTTGACGTGAATTTGAAGAGTTTTCGGGAGTAACTGGACAGTTAACTTGACCGTAATTGTAACATTGCGGCAATTGCAGCCTCCATGTGGTGCACTTGATCAGAGCTGGAGTCAATTCTTATTATGTTGCAGTGTTATTAGCAAACATTACATTTACACTGCGATGGTGACTCATTGAGTGGCAACATTACAGATGCCATTGGTCCCAGGTCTGCTTCGGATTACGTTTTTAGGAGTATCCACTGCCACCGCCCCCATGGTCAAATGCGCTGCTGGATTAATGCGCCTCCAAGCCGCAGCCGTCACGTACGATATTGCGATGTAATACATAATAACACCATGCACACGAGCTCCTTTCATATCCCCAAATCTCCGCTTTGGACGTGTCTCTGGGACTTCGCGTTCCTCGGCTGCCACTCCCCCGTCGTTCATTAATCTCGACCACCGGGCATCATTCCTTGAGTGCCGCCACGTGTCCATCCCAAGCCCAACTTTTTTCTGAAACGTTTAAAATGATGAAATTCACCTTCGTGTGTGGTGCGATCCCAAAACAAGAGTGTTGCTCTCTTTGTCAGGTCAAACATGGAGATGGGGCTCTCCCATTTTGGATTTCCCAGCCTGCATAAGCGCAGCGGCGCGCGCCAGCGTCTGTGAATGGCCGGAGAGATCATGCGCTCTCGGCTTTGACCAATGGGAAGCTGTGATGCGCGCCCCGCCGCTTATCCGCTTTATAGTTTACAAAAAGTGATGGATTCACGTTCTTGGCGTTCGAGTACAATTGTAATGCGTTCAACCGCATATTAATATGCTTTACATACGTAAACATTGGAGTAAATTATTGCCCATACAGATGCAGTCATAAGCCTGGGCTTGAACCAGTGGGAGTCGTGAACTTGGAATGACGAGCATGGTGAAGTATGGTCAAATGACCGCTATGACCCACCCTGCGTGTGGATGTCATCATCCAGCAGTGGATTGACAGAAGAGCTGTAACACGTGCCGAAGGACACACGAGAGACTGCCTTTGTAATGGTGTTTAAACGTGTGTATTAGCTCACGTTTTTTTGGGATCGGCCCTTCAAAGTAAAGAACAGGTTACTCCAGTCAGAGATGGGAACTCTACAATGTGGTTTTAGGAAACAGAGGCTTGACTACCCACCATTATGTCACTGTGCCCCCATCTGGTGTTGATAAGTTGTTTGACGAGTTAGGTTTAGGGAAACATTTCCTAATGCGCCTTGTTAATTTGTTTATTTATTCTATGCGTAAGATTTTAATGTTGTAAATGTCGCAAGTTCGTCCATTTGCGGAATTGCTCTGTGTATTGTTGCAAAGTGTTGAGCGGTTTGCCCCTGAAATGGTGGGAAGCATGCGTCAATAACGACACGTGTATTCTCCAGCGCTCGAGTCGAGTGGTACTGCTTATCCGGATGGTTATTGATTGTAATTTAGATTCATTTCAACATCGTTAATCCTGGGGGCCATTTCACGTTGCGCTAAGAGTGGCCGATGTTTGAGAAACGTCTTGTACACTACAGTGTTCTTACATCATGATGAGTTACAAACATGCTTTTGTTTTCATTTACTGCTCAATGTGACGTCTCTAACTTTCCCATTGGCAGGTCACCGACTCTTCAGGGCACATTCTTTACTCAAAAGAGGATGCTTCCAAGGGAAAGTTTGCCTTTACAACTGACGATTATGACATGTTTGAGATCTGCTTTGAGAGCAAGCTTCCAATGGGTAAGACATTTGTAAGTCTCGTCCCACATTAACTTTTTTGTTCTTGTAGGATATGTTTACTATTAACTGCAAACTATATATTTGTTTTTCGTAATGTTTCCCCAGTTTTATGCCAATTGTGCTATTGACACCATGTCATGAAACACAGTATTTGTTTTTTTATCTCTCTCAGAGCACCGCAACCTTTCCTGGTAGAGAACGGCCCATAGAAATTGATACCACAGAGCTACTATTGAGATCTCTGGCCCACAAAGTAGGGGGCAGGACTTGCCCACGAGCCTTGTTAAAAGCAATACTGTTCATCTAATGACGAACATTTTTTTTAATTTTCATGTTTTTAAATGTACACATTAAGGGCAGAACTAAATTCTGTGTTTTTTTTTACGCATTCATTGGTGACCAGGCTGAGACCATCAACTCATTAGACTTGAAAGTCCACTTTAATGACAGGAGGTTACCTGGAATTGAATTCAGAATCTCAACAGAACCAACTCAACAATTGGACCTCTTGGGTCACCCAGCCACCTCCATAAATGTCAAAACCAAGAGTTTAATATTTATCGAACACGAGTCGGTGCTGAACTCACTTCACCCAAGTGTTGATGGCTAGTGTTTGAGTCAAAACTTTAATGGCCAGCTCGCTGGCTAAAAGAAGTGCAGCTAGCAAGTGCATCGATATGTTAATCTCTGCAGTTGCCTCTGAACAACTCTACTGCACTGTCATAACATCTTGTGTTTCGCTTAACGTTTCCCAGGAATTGGAAGAGTCCCTGATCAGTTTGTGACACTCAACACCAAACATGGGGTGGAGGCCAAGAACTATGAGGATGTAAGTTCACCCCAAAGTTGTCTCGTCTGCTCAGAACTGCTTTTTGTGTTTAGTTCGTTGTCCTTCCCCCGATTAGCACGGTTGGCTACGTACGGTTCGAAAAGAAGTTAAACATAAATGTGTTCAATATTAGGTAGAAAATAATGCACCTCGAGTTCTCTGCACAACGGCAGGTCCGCGGTTAAAGCTCCCTTCATCTCATTCCACCCCCCCCCCCCCCCCCCCCATAGCCACATCACAATACCCCACTTAACTCTAAAGCCTTTGCACCTTTACTCGACAAGGGTCGTTAAAGTGGTTTCCCCTTTTATTCCTCAGCAGTGTCTTGTAGGTTACACCATTTTAACAATTAAAGACAATTCTTATGCTTTCGATATACGAGTAGACACTTGGATGTGGAATTGTGAATAACGTTTTTTCATTTCATTAAATGTAATGTTCATTTGGTCAGTAAATGGATGATGTGTTTATTAATATTGGACATTTGGTTCAATTGCTAAAACAATTTTGCATGGGCTTCGAGATGTAAATGACCTGAAGAGCTATCTGATGGTGATTATGCTCAGATTGCCAAGGCGGAGAAGCTCAAACCACTGGAGGTGGAGCTGCGGCGACTAGAGGATCTGTCCGAGTCAATTGTCAACGACTTTGCCTACATGAAGGCTCGTGAGGAGGAGATGAGGGACACAAACGGTGAGAGAAGATCTTTGCTGTACACTGGTTTGTCTCCCAGATCATGCCCGTCCCAAACAATGGTTTGGGCGGACTGCCTCTTTTTAAGGGGACCTAGTACTTGATGACAAAAAATAGTCTGTGCAAATATGCATGACAATCCACTAGTTCATCGACTAATTGTTCTAGATCTTGTTTAACTCATTTGCATAAACTGCATGTTACAAGCTTTTAAATGATGACTCGTTCACTGAAATTGGTGGAATGGTCTGATTTCTGTGCACAGAGATGCATGTATACAGATTAGACACTTGAATATGATTAATAAATCTGGTATTGTAGATGCGATGATTGAAGTTTACCACTTGTCTCAGAGATGCTTATTCGATTTATGTGCACACTTACATAAAACAGCATATGTAGAGTTGTTCCAGAGATGGGGAATAGAGCAGTGACGTAGCGGTTAGCGGCACTGCGCGACGATCTTAGGTACTTTGGTTCAGTTCCTGGCCATGGCCAACATCATTTCGCGAGTAATACAGGTTTATGAGATCTCGCATGAACGCAATTAACACATTTTGGACACTTTTCAATGAGCGAAATCGAATTTCTGCATTCACGAAATTTCGCATGGCAAGCGCCACGACATCATCAAACAAGAAGCACCCGGGAGGCTGCGTCATCTTTCCACGACAGTGTCATTGTATCCCTACAGTGTCATTGTATCCCTACAGTGTCATTGTATCCCTACAGTGTCATTGTATCCCTACAGTGTCATTGTATCCCTACAGTGTCATTGTATCCCTACAGTGTCATTGTATCCCTACAGTGCCATTGTATCCCTACAGTGCAACAGTAACGCCTCCACATCACCTTTCCAGTCATTCCAAAATGCAGATCTTTGGGTGCGTTCCCTCCAAAAGGTTAATTATTTTTAAAATTAATTTTTATTCGATTGTTTTAATATTCATGCTCTTAATAAATTTGTTTTCTTGTGGAAAGTGATATACAGGTGTATGTTTTAGGTTGGGGGGGGAGAGTTCGAATGACTGTCCGTAACTTATCCTACATTTTTAGACTTAAATTAATGGGAAAAGCCTTTTACATTTACGACATTTCGTTTTACATGTGTTTTTGAAGAACGCATCCCTTTCGTAAATCAAGGAACACCTGTATCAGAACCGATCCTGGGCCATTCGATGACCAGTGTGCTGAAGTATGCTCAAACAACACAGGATACGGGATGCTTTCATCCACTTTGGATAAATGGATCTGTTTTGTTACGAAGATATAGTATCTGCTTCACACTCTGATGAAAGCCCCAAAAAATATACTTTTAATATATTCCCTTTCGCAGATGTTATGCTTGTCACATTTTTGCCAAAAGTCAAACAAAAAGGAATAAAACGTGGTAATCGTGACGTAAAAGTTATTTTTTGTCAGACACGTGGTAGTACCACATGTTCAGCATGGTGATCCCTGCACGTGGAGTTAAAAGTTGGCCGCCGTGTCAAACAACCCGAAAGCTGTGACAACCCAAAAAACATATTGGAGGGCTTGTACAGCACAACCATAACAACCCACGCGGTAGGGATGTGTGGCTATGTTGTTGAGGGTCTCGCATGAAGGTTTCTGTCTTGCGTTGTATGGTTTTCTGCTCTGCAGAGTCGACCAACTCTCGCGTGCTGTACTTCAGCCTCTTCTCCATGTGCTGTTTGGTGGGGCTCGCCACTTGGCAAGTGCTCTACCTGCGCCGCTTCTTCAAGGCCAAGAAACTCATCGAGTAGTGCCCCCGACAGTTTTGGCGAAGTCCCACCACCCGTCGCCGCCACCTGTTGTATTTATTTGTGCCAGTTGTACCGGGAGGGGGGTAATATCGGTGGTCTCACTCGGGCAAGTGCTCAGATGAAGATGCGTCTTTTTGGTTTTCAAATGGGTGGTTTGATTTGTCTCCCTAGCTTATTTGGCAAAACACTGGGTATTTGTTTGAGCTTGTTTACCTTTCAGCTTGTGTTTGTACCGCGGTAGATTGTGGCGCACACCCCGTCGAGTGTATGCCCACTTTGTCATGTCTGCTGTTAGAACTGCATTTTGTTTTGCGTGTGCAAGGGTTATGGGCCTACAGAGCAGTTTTTTTTCCTTCCAAGTTTTTTTTTCCTTCCGAGTTTTTTTTCCTTCCAAGATTTTAAGTTCTACAATTGTGGAAAGCAGTGCAAAAATTGTACTCATTGGAATTTGATTGCACCAGGCAAATGTTTATTATTAAAATGCAGCCAAAATTCTAAATCAACCCCTCGTCTATATTTTGTTGCTTATGGAATACATTTTAGACTGCTGGGTTGAGATCTCATTAAGCAACCCTGAAACAAAAAAAAATAACAAGTTTAAGCTTTTTACAAGTTGCTTGTACAGAGTTATTTTATAAGAAATAAGTGATTATTTCCAGAGTTGTGGCACAGGTGTGATCTTCATTCTGAAAGTGCTGCATGGAAAAAAGAATGTTTTCCTATGAAGGGGATGAGAGTTGCATTTGTAGCTTCATCAATGCAGGCTGGGTGAATGATAGATGTACTTGAGAAAACGATAAATACTTCCAAGTGATCATGTAGTTTGGCGTCTTTATTTGTTTCGTGTGAATTAGTGGTGTGTTTATAGTGCACGTCTTGCAAGTCACATCCAATTACAGCACACTTATAATGCCATGTGCATGACCCTGGATGCTCATTATTGGCCTTTTACTGTTATGAGAAGTGAACATGTATTGATAATTGTTCACCCTCATGCACTTCGGCTTAGATGTAATGGTATTGCAAATGTTTGACCGAATCTTTGGAAGGTGTTGCATATATATGACGGCTCAATTCAAGCTATAAGTGTTCTGATACTTGCATTGCTTTTGTATAATTTGCCTTTAGGCGTTTTCTCTTCGAACACTGGTGAGACAAGGCTGTCTGGTGTAGGCCAATCAATTTCAAAGATAATGCATTTATTATCAGAGCATGTTTGCATGGTTTTCCACAAGTATGTGTGATTAATGCAGACTTGATGCCTTGGAAAAGGTGTTTGAATTTGGTGTTTGAACATCTTATTTCATTGCCAGAAAGGGTAAACACCTATTTAAAAATAATTTTGCATACTAGCAAAAAGATTCCATAGTTTTAAGCTTTTATATTTGTGTCCTCTGAAACTGGCGTTTTTAACAAAGTAAAGTAGCTACAAAATGGGAAAATTACAATTATGAATTCGATGCATTGCCAGTTAAGTCAACATTTTCAGTACAGGCAGACCCCAACATACGATTGCCCGACTTACGCACTTTCACACGTTATGTATCTCTTAGCATGGCTAATCTTGAAATAGCAATCATCTTGAATACAGCTTAATGTACGTGCCTGCGGATTGGAGGGAGATGCAGTTTTGCATGTAGCGGCCAAGCCATGCAGTCGGTGCTTTACATGTGAGGAGAGCAACCTTGAATTGGACGCGGAAGCAGACCAGTCGCCCGTGCAAGCTGCGCAAGTGATGGACGTAATGTGTGCAAATTGACTAACCCGCTGGATAATCCGGGCAGCTGCATTCTGCACTAACTGGAACCTCTGCACAAATGCAAGTGGTAGCTCTGTGTAGAGGTGCGTTTCCACAATTCGGGTGTGTGTTGTTTGGGGCGGAGAGGAGTGGGTGCAATCCTCGGGAGTGTTATGGAGGTTGGAGAAACATGCTCCGGTCGTAGCTGCCGACCTCTAAGCTCATTCATGCTCTGATCGGATGCAGAACTCCCCTCTGCAGAGCTTCCCTCCACTCAAATCTTCCCGTCAACGCTGCTTTCGCATGCGTTGAGCTAAACTGTACATAATTGGAATTGCGTACTTTATCTGTGGCCGATTTGCGTGCCGAGTGAGATCTGAGCCTGCTGTCATATCTTTAGCAGTGCCTCAAGTGTTCTGCCTCACTGCGATCTTAAACGGCTCAAGCCGTGTATACTTAAGACACTACATCAGCAATGGACCATTGAGAATGACGTCTTGCCGTCCCTTTTTTCCTGAATCATCCATCTCTGCTTCTGCAAATGAAGAAGGCCTATGCTGGGACAGATTATCTCTGATTTCCTTCCCCGTGCTCTTTCAACTCTGCCTGGATCCTCCCCAGCACTTCGCTATTGTCCTCGCCGAGCAACGTCTGCTTCGTTTCCCTAGGTCTATGGCTTCTGTAGCTTGAGCACGTATCTGCTAATTCTCCTTTCTTTAGGATCGAGGATTTCACGCTGCTGCCTAAACTACAGCTGCCTTAAATCCTTACCAGAGTGCTTCTGGCTCTTAATTAATTCTATCGGGTTTGCAAGTCCTGCAAACCGGCCTCAGAAATGATCTTGTCTCGGAATAAATCCATTGAATTGAAGTGGACTTTTGTTGAAGTTTCAAATGATTTAATAGTGCCCAAATTGCAAAGGAAGAGGAATTACCCATGCTTATGCACAGTTGGATGAAGCGGCGCACTCGATTTTCGAGTTTAATACCTGATGAAGCTCAAAGCAGTTTGGGCGAAACGTCGTTGCATGCTGATGTTGAATTCAGTCCTCAAGTCACCGGTGAAGAGCTTTATTGGTCACAATTTGATCAATGCATTACCACCTATAAATGTTTGATGATGTGACGGTCTTGTCGGATGGTGGAGGGTAAATTACAATTTTGAAATAAAGCTACCACGTGGCCGAACCCAAAAACAAATATGGATCCGGTTATAAGTTACGACTTTTCAGCACTGCATTCACAAGGTCCCTGCAATATGTTTTTTCAAAATTTACGAAAGAACGCCGCCTTTGCATTGATTCGTTGCAACCAAACATCTGTACCGGTATCGACATGCGAGTTTCTCATCGGGCAGAGTACGTGTCAAGAGATTTAGCATTAACACTCCCACGTGGCCTCTCACTCTACGAAAAAGGTACTCTCTAGCAGGAAACCGCGGAACTTTGGCGATAAACGGATTGCAAAATATGCACGTGGTGTCCATCGCTGCCTGTCGTCCACTTCACACGTGTGGTGTGACGTCATCAACCGCCAGTACGCCTTGTGACGTCACCCCACTCTCACCAACAGCATCGCGCGGCGCTTTCACATGTGCTCCTGCGGCAGTCTGGAACGCTCTTCCTTCCGAGATCAGGAAGCCACTGGAACGATGCACTTTTAAAACGTCGTCTAGATTGACAAACGCATTTCCTTAGAACTGATTTGGTTTGTGTTTAGCTGTCCTTCACCCCGCACCTCCGATTAGCACGGTCGGCTATGTACGGCACGAAAGAAGTTCAACATGCATGAACTCTTTGGTTCTTTCGGTAAAGTCACGTAGATAGAAATTTAATAGATCACGACGTTTCGATCGCAACACAAGCGACCGTCTTCAGGTGAGAGAGAGGAAAGCTACTGAAACAAGGTCTTATATAGGCCTGAGATGGGTGCAGCCTCAAGGGTAAGAGGGCAGGGCTAGAGATGGTCTGCCCTGAGGCTGTGGAAGTGCCTATTGTATTGTGAGAGATTAGCATGTCAATAATGTACGAGCTTAGTATGCCACAACATTCATTTTCTACCTACGTGACTTTACCGAAAGAACCAAAGAGTATGGATTCCCGCAGTCACGAAAGCTTCAAATCAAGATTCAACATGCATTGTTTAAACTTGATTTGAAGTTTTTCTACAGTCACGAAATCTTCAAATCAAGATTCAACATGCATTGTTTAAACTTGATTTGAAGTTTTCGTGACTGCAGGAATTAATTACTCTTTGGTTCTTTCGGTAAAGTCACGGAGAAAGAAAATAAATTAAGTAGTAGAATACGACTTTTCGATTGCAACACCAGCAATCGTCATCAGGTAGAACTAAGTTTGATTTCCACACAACTCTTTTTAAAATGTACAATTCTTGACCAGACTTGCTGGGTCTTTCTCTCCCCCTGCCACCGCGGGGTGGATTTCCACACAGCCCTCTCATTGACATGCTAATGTCTCTGCTCCAGCAGACTCACACCTCTCTCTCTCTCTCTGCCACCTCCCCTATCTATATTTAAGGCCACGACACAGAGGCATTGGGTCTCTGTGTGTCTATGGGGCCGTCCATAAACGACGTCACGCACCTAGGGGGGGTCAGATATTTGTGACGATGGGGGGGTTGAGAAATGTGACGTCAAATCAAAATGCGCAACTTTAAATAATAATAGACAACACGTTCTACTTAATTAAATAGACTTTTTAATATCTACATCATTAGACCTCCTTTGCCAGTACCAAAATGTAATAATAGGGTTTTTTTTTCTGGCAACAAAACTGAAACCTTTTTTTTACAAGGATTAATGTCTGCATTAACCACAATACCTGCAGTCAAAATGGTTAATGCAGACATGAATCCTTGTAAAATGGTTTCAGTTTTGTTGCGAGAAAAAAGGGGAAAACCCCTATTATTACATTTTGGTACTGGCAAAGGAGGTCTAATGATGTAGATGCTCACCCCGAGCCCTCATTACTTTGATAGTGCATTGTCTTTGAGCTGTGTGACGCCTTTTGGCGTCATCTGGTCGAGCACCAATTGGGTCGAGGCTCAAAAGAAAGCCGTCCCTTGGTGTGGACCAATCAGTTTCAAGGACAATGCATCATATATTATCATAGTATGTTTTTTGTTTGCATTTTGACTGCACTATCAACGTAATGAGGGCTCGGGGTGTGCATCTACATCATTAGACCTCCTTTGCCAGTACCAAAATGTAATAATAGGGGTTTACCCCTTTTTTCTGGCAACAAAACTGAAACCTTTTTTCAAGGATTCATGTCTGCATTAACCATTTTGACTGCAGGTATTGTGGTTAATACAGACATGAATCCTTGTAAAAAAAAGGTTTCAATTTGTTGCCAGAAAAAAGGGAAAAACCCTATTATTAGACTTTTTAATGTTTTCTCCTACAACATCAGAGTGCAGCGCCACATTAAATACGCACTACAATGACAATAGTTTAAAGCGATTTGAAGCATGTGTTTTTTTTGGGGGGGGGGGCAGAGCTTTGTGACGTCATATTTGAGGAGGGGGGTCTCACTTTTTGTGACGCCGTGTGACGAAGGGGGGGGGGGGGTCAAAAATCGTCCAAAATCGCGTGACGTCATTTATGGATGGCCCCTATGTTGTGTTGTCTCTCTCTGCTTGTGTGTCTGTCTGTGTGTCTCCGTGTCTGCGTTTTGTCTCTCTCAAATTTAGTTCTACCTGATGACGGTTGCTTGTGCTGTAATCGAAACGTCGTACTCTATTATTTAATTTATTTATTTCGACGTGGCTTTACCGTCTACGTACGGTGCAAAAGAAGTTCAACATACATCGTTTAAATTTTTATTTAAAGCTTTCGTGATTGCAGGGATTCATATTCTTGGTTCTTTCGGTAAAGTCACGTAGAAGGGAAACAATAAAATACTAAAAATATAAAACAATACAATTCTCACGACGTTTCGACTGCAACACAAGCAATCATCATCAGGTGTGAAAACCACAGCAAGAAAATTTGAGAAAAGTGGCGTTTTTTTTTACGTTAGCACCACGGAGAGCGATTTGACAGTTTGACCCTAGCAAC